GTTTCCTATGCTGCCTCTGCCCAGTGACAACAATCAGAGCATCCCATCATTGGCACCCACTGTCCACCCCCACGCCCTAAGCATGGGCCTCAAGTCGCCCTCCGGACCTCGCAAAGACTGGGGTCCATAGAGGTGGTGTGAGAGAGTGGCACATACCCACAGTGTCAGGAGAGTAAGAGCCAGGCGGCTGCATATGGTGGGTAGGTCGTGCTTGGCCTGGCAGCTGAATCCAGCCCCTGTTGGGTTGCTCACACTGTCCCTGGTACTGCGCAGTCCTGGCTGAAAAACGGAGTGTACTTTTTGTAACCCATACAAAGGTGTCAGCTGTGGACCAGATGAACAGTCTTCTTTAAGGGAAGTCCGCGATTCTTAAAACTTCAGGTGGGGTCAACTTAGAGCAGCTCACATATATACATCATAATCTAAGTACACACCCGACCCATGATTCCACTGGCTGGAAGAAGGATGTGCATTTTTCCTGAAAGTCAAAACTTTCTAACCACACGCAATCAGTGAACCCAACTAGCTTCCTATGCGTAAGGTGCTGGAAAATGACAATTCTCCCACCTGTTCAATATTTGTTATTGTTGTTAGTTGCCATGAAGCCAATTCCAGCTCACAGTGAACCTATGTGTGCAGAGCAGATGCTCCATAGGGTTTCAAGGTTATGGAAGCAGATCGCCAGGCCTGTCTTCCAAGAGCCCCTGGGTGGGTGTGAACTGCCAACCTCTGGCTAGCAGCCAAGCACTTACTTACCTGTTGCATCACCCAGGGATACCTCTGTTCAATGTAGTCAGCAAAATGAACCGAGGGCCATGCATCAGGTACCAGGAAACCAAGGTGAAACCAAGGGACTGTGCTCGAGGAGCTAGAGGAAACTTCAGCCGAGGGGAGAACAACAGACACAGCATAGACACCCAGAAAACCAGGCAGACACGCCCCAGTGCTAGAAGACACAGGTCATGGGATGGGAGGAAAGGTGACGTGATAATTGAGAGGAAGGAAAGAGTAATTCCAAGCAGAGGACCCTGGAAGACTTCCTGAGGAGATGGAGCATAGACCTTCCACCAAGCCTTGAGAAGGGCCAGGTTCCAGGGCCCCCACAGCCCCGGTCAGCCATGTAGGCTTGAGAAAGCCCTTTCTGTCAGCTTTAAAATGGACCATTTGCCGAGTGCCTTATAGCATTGTGAGGGTTAACTGACTTAAAATGACATTGGATAAATAAAAGTGCAAAATAGAAAGCCTTTTCATCACTGGGGGAAGCTGAAAGCAGAAAGCCTGTGAGGGAAGGAACAGGATGAGGGTGTGTGGCGCCTGCCAAGCACAGAGGCACAGGGATGGTAGGTACACCTACTGCACTTCTAACGGGCTCTAAGTTCTTAGTTCTTTTTTTTTTTTTTTTTTTAAACCTCCCACAGCCAATGTTATTGAAGATAGCCCAATAAGGGCATGCTGGCACATAGAAGTGCCTCTGCATCATCAGGTTGAAAGTCCTGACCAGAGAAGCGACAGAGAGTCACAAGGATGGCCACAGAGGGTCCTGGAAGCCTCTGTGTCCCCTGCCTGGTGTCCCCCCATGGCTCCCAGCACTGGCCTAGCTCAGGGTGTGCTCTAAGTGAATGGAATCTTACTGCCTTCCAAGGACTTGTATATTCATGGTCCATTTTGATTCTAACCACAGCTAGCGGGGCAGACAGGGCATGTAATAATGTCCCTGTCAAAGAAGAGGAAATTTGAGGCTCCCAGAAGGTGAGCGACTGGCCACATCGCAAGCTAGCACTGTCAGAGGGGGCCCAGACCTCTGTCCTCACACACTGTCCCTTCCTTACGCCATGCCACCTCTTCATATTAATACTACAACCAGTCTTCATGTAACAATTCATCTTTGCCAGCTTTACCAAAGGCCTACCACATGCTGTTCTAAGCACTTTCCTGTAATACTTTACATAAGCCAAGGCTTTCATCAACTCACACTGGAGGTCCTGTTACTATTTCCAAATGGACTGGCTTATTTATATATAATTCCAGCTCTGAAGGAGGGTTTTGTGCATCCCAGGAGTAAGAATGTCATGGATTCCTGGTCCTTCTACCAAACAGGAACTGATTTGGGTTTAAAATCTTTGGTTTGATTGCTTGGTGTCACTGTTCCCTGGAGAGAGACAGCAGAAATTGCACGGGCATCAGGGAGACACAGAGGGTATTGATTCTTCCCCATGGACATTCCTGCTTAGAGGGTCAGCTGTCAGTTTTGGCCTGACTGCAGGGGGAGGGGAAGACAGCACGCTCATAGTTAAGACAGCTATGGAACTTGTGGCACAGGAAGCCACACACAGCTAGGCTGAGTTTGGGAGCCCAAGTTGCAAGCCAGGGATCCCTTCCTCCCTTCCCCTAGACACTTGCCCACAGCAGTTGCACCACACAGATCAGTGCCTTTCAATGCACCTGTGACCTTCTGGCCACCAGCAAATATGGTGGTGAGGGAAAGCAGAGGAGTGGGGCCTGGGAGGGAGGCCTGAAGAATATTCAAGGTCAGGGCCACCCTCCTCTTTCATGACCCGCCCCACTCCTTTGGCTAATAATAGTTTATGGTATGCCTAGTCCCTAGAGGATATTTTTATTTTAATAAAAGTAATTCATGATCCAAAGGTCTTGGGACAGGAGGTTGGAAATCATACAACCCCTGCCCTGTTGAGTGGTGTCAGCTCAGTGGCTCCTTTAAGGTGGCAAGGACTTGGGACGGAAGGAGTAGAAGCTTTCAGGGCTCCCAGGTCCAAAAAGGAACAGGTGAGAAGAGGCATGCGGCCTTGAGAGTAACTGTCAGTGTCTCCACCTGTGTGCCCCGGTCAGCTCTGATATCTGCATCTGGTGGAGCCTTCAGTCACCTGTATGAGGTCTTGGTAGTACCATTTTGACTTCTGTAACTTTAATGTCACATTGAAGGGTCAGGGCATCGTAAGACTTGAGCCATTATCTGAAAAATGTACGGTGAGGACTAGTTTATCAGGTTAACCATTGTGCCCAATGTCCACAGACTGAAAGAATGAGATACAGAATGTGTAAGCATTCATGAGAGGAGAGGTGAGGGACCAGGGCATGAGGCTATGTCCCTGACGAGGTTATGTCCCAGGGCAGTCCTGAGCAGACCGCAGAGAGATGAGATGGTTAGGAGGACAGCAGAGAGTTAAAAGAGAGAGAGAGAAGGAGAAGACATTAAAGGTGAATATTGTTACATACACAATCCAACAATAACAGTAATAATAATCTCTAAGTAGATGCACAGAGAGACATGCAAGCTGAATAGGAGTGACAAAGCAAATGGGACTACAACCATGAATATACATCTATATATATATGCATATGTTTGATGGAGGATGTTTCTACATGTGTGTTTATCTCTATGTGCTGCAAATATATCCATGAATATAGTAGAGGATGCAGATGGCAGAGTTAAGAAAACTTCTTAGCCATAAACAAACATCTTGAGAAAATGAGTCGCTGGGCCTGGGGACTCAGGCTCATAATCTTGGAGAAACATCAGGGTCAACTGGCATAACATAGTCCACAAAGACAATGTTCTACATCCTACTTTTCTGACAAGCAACTGGGTTCTCATACCTTGCAGGTGGCCATCTAAGGTGCAACTGTTGGTTTCTCCTCATTTGGAGTAAGGAAGAGTGAAGAAAATCAAAGATGAATGGAAATAATTAGTCCAGAGGACTAGGGTACCAT